CCCCAAAACCCCAAAACCCCAAAACCCCTAAATGCTTGAATGTAATTAACACATCTTAAAATAGAAATAGATCAATAAAATAAATAATATGATTGTCAAATTCAATTCTTGATAAGTTTGTTTTCATAAGTGAAACTATCCATAATCCTGTGATGTAGGCAGATTAACTGGCCCACCATACTTAAAATCCTTTTCTAAAAAGGGCAGTTTCTCGAATTTAGGGATTATCCTTCTCGGTTTCTCAACTAGCTTATTTAAATATCGATCTTAAATCTCACTAACATTGATTTTACGTCTTCTTTGTTGAGACACTAATTTGATGTGGCTTTGTCGATTTTTATAATTGTCGAAAATAGATTATTAGATTTAAGATTAAAGTTGTTGCTATTAAATAGTGGAAGAATCCTAGGATATGTCTAATGGGATAAAAGTCTTAAAATCATCCTATTATCTATTTCTAAGATTTCCAAAATCTAGGGACTATGAGACTTGGGGTAAGATTTTAATTATATCAGATCCTGCTTCATTCATCTATCTTTCTGGAGAAGGTTGATGCTTGAAAAGCAAGTCGAATCTATTCTGATATTTATTAATAATTTCTGGAGTCTTATATAGGTTTTGGATAATACTGTCCTCATTTTACGATAAACGCTCGTTGACAGATGAACTAAGCATATTTTAAGCAGCATAATTGCTTAGCTTTCTGTTGTTGAATTTACTCCTCAGCATATGATCTTATCCAACATATCCATTGTCTTAATTTTATAGGAATTCCTAAATCTATTATTGATTTCTCTGCTGTAGTGTATTAGGGATGTCTAGGTTTTTGCTTTGATCGAGACTATGTATTCTAGTATTTGGCTGCTTATATCTGCTTATGATTTCTTACTAATAATATCTATTGGTATCTGCCAATTAATTTACATATGGATTGTTGAAGATTAGAGATTTCTATGAGCTTTAATTTGATGTCTCGTTCAATGTTATGGTCTTAAACTAATTAGGTAAGGTATTTGTAATAGATCCCCCACCAGATTACACATCTGTTTCCTTATAAGGATCATTAGAATTTACACTCTTCTACAATAGTTCATTGTAATCATTTCCAAGAAAATCATTTCTGAGAAACTATTTCTTCACATGAATACCTATATCTGACTTGTTTTTGTCGATGAGACAGGATCTGTAGATATTTAAGTCCTGTTATTTTCTCTCAGGGGAAAGTTTGGGTGATTGATTTTAAGAATTTGAGCCTTGGCTGTTGTTGTATTAAAAGACATATTGCTGAATTGGTATTGGTTTAGCTTCTATGACTTGTTGATCGTTTATAGATTTGTATATATTTTTAAGCAAATGAGGATTGTATTATTGCTTATCTTAATGAAATAGGTTATTTACATTTTATCTGTATTCAATTGCTAGACTCTTTACATTACCTCTGTTATTCCTAGTATTCATTTTATTACCCTGACCTCTCATTTTATTTAATCTGTAATTTTTATTAACAATTTTATTTTTTAGCACGGGGTTTTGGGGTTTTGGGGTTTTGGGG